CGAGCCCAAAGGGTCCAAGTACTAGTATAGTATATACTTTTGGGGGCCCAAATACTTACTAAGTATCTACTATACCTCAGCCCTAAAACCAAAACCCCTAAACCCTGAACCCCTAAACCCTATAAACCCTAAACCCTAAACCCTAAATCCTGAACCCCTAAACCCTAAACAAGGTACTTGGACCCTTTGGGTCCTCCTCGTCTACGGCATTCGGCGTGCTTCAGGTCGGCTCTGCAATGGCGAAACAGAAACAGACGGCCAGCTGCACAGGAGCCCCGAGGCTTCGGAGCCGGATCTGCCAGGACCAGTTTAGGGTTTAGGGTTTGGGGTTTAGGGTTTAGGGATCTGGCAGGACGTCGGGGTGTAATGTAGGGGCCTCAATAATTTATCCACAGTATTTTTTGGGGGGTTCCTTATGAAATTATGGTACAATATAAGTATAATATAGGACCAGCCGCCAGCGAACGCCACCGGAGCTCATAAGGTTCTAGGGAGGGGTTTTCCTTTTGCTGTAATACACAGGCTTGAAAAGGAAGCAGGGGTTCTATAAATATCTAGGTTGGTAAACGATTGCAGAAGGGCTCAAGATATAGATTTAGTAAACATGTCGCTCTGTCCGAATCCCTGTCTTGTCTATTCCAGGCCCCTATACTACACGCGTGATTGGAGTTTAAGGGTCCTTGAGCGCTAAGACGCATATTCTATGTTTTGTTGGCTTTCTTAAGGATTTAAAGACAAAGCTGTAGTCTTAGCTGGTGCGTAGAGTGCAGTCTACGCTTCAAGCACCTCAGTCGTCCTGACATGTGCATCTCGCTTTTAGGATACCTTAAGGTTATATGGCTATACAGGCTTGGAGACATCATAACTCACGGTGGAGGTATAGTACATATGCCTTAAATGTCCGGATCCTTCAGGCAAACCGTGACCATTGGGCCCTAAAAGCCCGAATCCCCCCTCAAATATTGTGCTAGACCTTGTCAACCCCAACAAAACCGTAAACCCCTCGCACACGAAAACACATGCGTTGGCCCTGGCAGATGCCCGCCGACATCATCTCCTATAATGCGACGCTGAGCAGCTACGAAAAGAAGGACTGCCAACATCAGTCCCTGGGGTTTATCTGGGCCCGACGAAACCTTCTTGTCTAGGGTTCTTGAGGGTTTCAGGGTTTAGGGTTTAGGGTTTAGGGTTGATGATGATCTCTTTGTACAAGTCCTTGGAAGGGTCGGCTATCTCGGGTTCAAGGAGGGTCGAGCATTCAGCGCTAGTCTCAGGATCTCTGAGGATGATCTTCAGGAACTTGCGAAGTTTTACTTGGAGAATCAAGTGATCTACCAGGTGGGTGGTAGCGACAGTTGGGTCCAATTATCCGCGGAGCTTTCAACACCTCCACGTTAGCCCTTTGATGGTTACCAGTTCGTGGTCCACAGAGCTTAAGGCTCCAGTCGTTGGCAAATGGTATCTGGTGTTTCAGATCGGGTTATGCTGCGTGCTGCTTGCTATTTCCTCTTTCTGCAGTGATCTCGGATGCGAAATTGTCTCGAGGAGCACAGAAACGGCCTGATTGTACCGCATGAGCTTCCAGCACAGGAGCCTAGACTCATTGTTCATAAAGTTAGGGCATTGGGTCTAAAGTTGTCCTTGTATGGTGTAAACACTGACCCCAGACTTGCTGTCAATACTAGTTCTAGGTACAGCAAGGGACCGTCAGGAATAGTATCGTAATTCATTGGGCTTCTGAAGAACTGTGTGCAAGCTTTGTTCGAACTTGTCTGGCAGTTGCGCATGCAAACCGACATCAAGCAGAGGCCCCAAAGCCACCAGAATCCCCGCGAAGTCTAACTTAACAACACCCTCAAACCAGTCCTTTCAGTGTGCCTCATCATGAGTTCCTTTTGTTGAAGTCTAATCAGTGATAAGGGGTCACCCTCAATCCCAAGCCCTAAACTGTTTCTTTGCAGGAGTGGCCACGAGCTTTACAATTCCTTGCGGCGCTGTGCTGCCACGGGTGCGGTCGGGGGGCTGTCATGCCACTGTAGACGGCTCGCTGTCGGTACATCATGTTTAGAAGTTTTCGAGTTTGAGTCCATACTGGTTTCATGCGCTTCAAACTGCACCCTACCAGCCTGATACACCCAACACCCTAGATTCCAACCCATGACGTTTGCTTCGTCCTCTCGCCATGGGTATGCGCTTAGGGTTTGGTGTCTACATATGGAGTTTCGAGTCTTGCTCCCAATCTCTTTGCGGCCTGAACCATGTATCATGGGTGCCAATAAGAATTTGCCAGCACTTGCATCGCAGGTGTAATGCTGTAGCGGACTGCACCATACGGTGCCTTAATGTTCTCGAACCACCACCAGAAGGTCGGGATCCGGGCTTGTCTCCGTATTACCCGTTGTCTATCTCATCTTATGTCCCTCGGTCTTTGAACTCCAACTGCTTACACCCCCAATCCGATTGTTGCAGGCACCTCAAGACTAACGCCGTGAGCTACAATGCCTGCATCAACATTTGTGAGAAGAGCCTTTGTGCTGAGATTTGGTCGGTATCTTCAGAGCTGGGTACCCCTGAACCCCTAAAGCCCTAATTAGGGTTTACGGTTTAGGGTTTAGGATCGAGGATTCAGGGTTTAGGGTCCAGGGTCAAGGCCCTAAACCCCAAGCTGGGTAGTTCTCTAAAATAGTGTCCCTTTTTGGGTCCCCAATATAGTACGGCACCCTTATGAACAAGGACCCTAAAAGGGACCCTAATCTAGAGAACTGCCCAACTGTTTCTTGAGACTTAAATAAAGCCCTTTACCTATTCAGGGGTAGGTGCAACACAGAACCAACCTCTGAGCCTCCTCGCAACCAGCCTCGCCATTTCTTGAGTGACCCTAGCTCTGAACCCTAAAGCCTACTTAGAGGCCCAGGGGACTTAGGAAGTCGGTTGTATGTAGGCTTATCATCAGGATAACTCCACTTAGAGCACCTATAACTCTACTTATAACCTACTTACTAAGTCCCCTGACCCTAAGCCCTAAACCCTAAACCCCTAAAGCCCTAAACCCCTAAATCCCTAAGTTCCCTAAACCCCTAACTTAGAGGCATAACCTAGTTTTTAAGTCCCAAACCCCCAAAGCTTCCCAAGCCCCAATTCAACTGCGAGCCCCTAACCCTAAACCCTAAACCCTAAATCCCTAAACTCCTTTGAGTGTTACTTGCCGAAGCCCTGAGAAGAGCCGATCGCACGATGACGGCTTCGGGTTTACTACAAAAGGCCTCGTTGATTAAAGTATGGCTTAGGGTTCCTTGAAAAGGTTCTATCAAGGGGTCTCATAAGGGCTGTGGTTGCTTTGATCAAGAAGGTTCTACAAGGCTACAAAGGTTTTAGCACAAGTGTTCTACTAAAAGAATATCATTTTCAAATCAAAAACCTATCTTCTGAGGGAAGTACATAAGGATCCATTTATGGGATTGCTTTTAGGGTTTAGGTAGGCGTTTGGGATCTTCGGGCGTGCCACAGCCCTTGTTCTGATAGGAGCGTTAAAAATTGGAGGACGTAGGGCTTGTGCATATTTCCAAGTACATTATAAGGTTTAGGGTTTAGGGTTTAGGGTTTAGGGTTTAGGGTTTAGGCCCTATACCCTGAACCCTACGCCCTATTCCAGGGGTAAAACCCTAAACCCATAAGGCTTAAGGAATCTTGTTGGTAGTTATGCAGGGCTCCTCTAGTAGCCACCACCCCAAGGTCCAAAATTCACGCTGGATCCCTCGGTTCGACTACCCCGCCCTGATTCCCGAAGGGTTCCTTTGTTCTGTTATGGGGGGTTCCTTGAAGGGTTTAGGGTTGGTTCCTTTCAGGGTTCCTTGAAGGGTTTATGGTTCCTCTAAAACACTAAGAAGACGCACCGGCCTTTTCTCGCAAAACAGACACTCGTGAGCCTCGTGGTTCCGCGGAGTTCTGCAATTCACAACCGATCGCACTCTGATGGACTGTTCACAGAGTTCTGCAATTCACAACGGCTGATCGCACTTCGCTGGACACAGAAGCTCCTACAGATTTACATTGGTTCAAAAACATCTTCTCTCTAACAGGGATCTTCAAAGATGAGCAAGACCTCCACCACTCCCCAGCTTTCTTAGGCTTGGTGAGCAGGTCAGCTCGTTGTAGCTCTGTAGGTAGCCAAACTAGGGGTGCGCGCGCATCCTCGTCTTGGTGTCCGCGAGTCTCAGCTTGTAGTGCTTGCCTAAGGCATGCTATGTCAATAGCGAGCCTTCTGTCTGATGGGGTCCTTGGGAGTCCATCCTTGTGAAAATGATCATAGAGCGAACGGCAGTCTGTCATTGCCACCATAGGTATCTCCTCGCCGGATCGCCTGGTGAGGTGGCCGGAAAGGAACGAGGCGACCATTGCCCGGACATACTGAGCCAACTCGATCCCCTCGATGCAGCCCATCGTCTCCGCTCCGAAGGTCGAGCGACAAACCCGGTCGCAAGCATGCGACTTCCACTCTACGATGCTGGCTGGAGCGTCTTGTCCTTGTACTGCTCCGGTTTCGGTGAACATAACCAACATCCCGAGCTGAGAGGCCACGCGGGAGTTCTTCCGCTTGGCCTTGCGCTGTTTGGTCGCCCACGGACCATCACGAATCACCCCGCGCTCCTCGTCCGACGGTGACAGGAAGTACTCGGGGTCCTCATTGCAGTCCGCGCATTCGCCCACCCAGCGTCATGAAAAACCGCGACGATGAGCTTGTCGAGGTCGATCTTTCTGAGGACAATCGCTTCCTGTCCGTGCTGGAGGGCGCGGCGAGCAAGTAGGTTGGTAAATCTGATATCCTCGATCGTAGGGCTGGCCTGTAGTTGCTGGGCCATGCTTACCCCGCATGCCAAATCCGGCCGAGTCTGGGAGGCCAACCACGATGGGGCCCCGATCAGAGACCTGTTATCGGCAATTTGCTCGGTGCTCGCCTTGGTGTCGTCGGGGGCCTTGGGGTCAACGGCCACCTCAAAGAGCCTGTTCTCGACATAGCCTCCTTGTGAGATTCGGATCTCGTCCTTTAGGACCTCGATGTGGCTGCCGATGAAGTCGAAGGTGTCGGTCTCCCATTCCTCGACGGGAAAACAAGTAGACAACTGTTCCTGAATGGACTTGCTCAGGCCACGAGGTCCAATCAGTAGGATGTCGTCGACATGTACCGCGGCGTAGCACAGGGGTTTCGCTCCCTCGACCCGGTCGTTGTTGTTGTCAATCTCGATCAGTTGAAACACACACGGGTCCAGGGGCGATGCAACAAACCTTGCGTAGGTCCCGCCTCCAATGTCGATCTTCTGGAGCTGGATGTCCTTCCGGAACTTACGCCACCACATACGCGGTGAGTCAATCAACCCGAACACACCTTTGTCGATCCGGATGATCTGAGAGGGGTGCAGGCCTGGGAGCCCATGCCGAGGTTGACGTAGATAAAGTCGACGTTCAAGAGGATCTCCGTTAAGAAATGCTGCTGTAACGTCTCCTGCACTCACGGTCCAGTCTTGATCCAAACGATTCGCAGCTATCTGGAGTAAAGTCATGACCGCTGTCCTGGAAACGGTTGGAGAATCTGTCCTCAATGCTCCCGTGGACACATCTGGGTCGGTGTGTCCACCGATCACCAACCTGGATTTCGGCTTCCAGGGCACGCTGGGGTCAGATCGCCGTTTGGCGAGATTTTTGTCACGGTAAGCAAATCTGCTCGACAGCACCCGGTCATTCTCGGTGGCGAGGATCTTCAAGCTGGTCTCGACATCCAACGGAGTGAGAGCACCAAGTCGCAGGTGTTCCTCCCATTGTCGAGCTTCGGCCTCTTGAAAAAGGGGTCTTTTATCGACCGGAATGGCATTCCAAGGAATCTCCTTCTCCAATTGTTTCTCTCGGCCACGCTGAGTAGTCGCTCTTTTGAGCATGTAGGCCTCTTGTGGTGT